CGAAAGGTCCAGAGTGCACTGAGAGCCAATTATGGAAGCCAGGGCAATGGCGGATGGTTCACCTGCTCACAGAGTCTGAGGAAGCCTGGCTTTACACAGTGTGTCAAGGGGTACTCAGGGCTGGTCCTGACCTTCTGGCTCCAGAGCAGTCCTGGAGATGGTGGCAGGATAGCTTCTCCCCCAAGCCCTCTGCCCTCTCTCCCTGCCCCACAGTCAGACTCTTCTTGTCTCTGTTAAGAACAGTTGTTGTCAGAGTGATTAAGGACTCAGTGCATGAGTCCAACCACTTAATTTTATAGCTGAAACAATTGAAGCCCAGAGAGGGTAGTGACATGCCCAGGGCCACACAGCCACTAAAGAGACAGAGGGTGGCTACAGCCCAGGTGTTTAGATGCTTTCACCAACTGATAAATTAATCCACTGCTTTGAAGGAGGAGGTATTGTTTTTCACTTTTCCATTTTCAGACTGGGAGGCCTGTGTTTCTAACTGAAAGCAGTCTTACCTGGGAGCCTGACTATACAAAGACATAGGACGTGATACACAGAAGTAGGTCTGGAGTGATATTCACTAAATTTTCAATAAAGATTTTTTTTTGGCAGGTGTGAAATAGGGTGGGAATGACTATGGACTGTGGTGGGTTATGGGGAACGCTCCCTTTCCACACATTTCCTAGTGTCAGAATGATGTGAACTTTGTGACCAGGAAAAAAGGCAATAAAGACATTTCACTTTGGGAAGAAGCATCTGATTACTCTGAGAACAGGCTGAGAAGGATGTCCCAAGGGTGATTCCAGAGACAGGGGCCCACTGGCTACTACTGTGTCAGTAAGGGGAATGGGGCAGGGCCCTGGGGGGCTTGGCTCTTTCCAGCATCTTGTCCCTGCTTACTTTGAGGTGTCTTCACTTGTGAATAACATTGGTAGGGAGGCTTTGGGGAAGGCTTAGGTTTCCAGAATCTCTTGAAGAGATACAAAAGCTGCCTCTTCTCTCTTTCTACCATGCTTGCTGTCTTGCAATTCAGTGCCACATTTACTTTTGAGACACACTAAATGAACTGAGGCAAGATTAAAGCACCCAGCCACCCCAGCAGTGAACTTCTGGGTGTTTTCCTTCTAGCAATGGAGCAAGCTGGGACAGGCAGGGAGGGAGGCAGAGGGAGGCCCCACCTGCAGTCCTGCCAGGTGGGGAGGGTAAGGTACAAAGTCCCAACCAGATCTTAGGAACCAACTCCCTGCCTGCCACCCCAGGTTCATGATGGTGGCAGCCCAGCCTTTGCTTCAGGATGGTGGGTAGCAGAGATGGGTTTGCACTGGGTCTACAGACGGGGCAGCGGCTCTTCCCAGAAGAGCTGCAGCCCTGGAGGCCTTCCAAGAACAATACTAAGGGTTTCTAATGTAATTGACTTCCAATTATAGCTGAGCCTGGGAGGGCTTCCCTGTAAATACTGAGAAGGGCTGGGCTGGGTGCACCGGAGTGTCAACCTAGAGCATTTATTGAAAGGCTCGTTAAAGATGTTCCCAGGCCAACCCAAGAAGACAGAAAAGAAAAACAAATACACAAGGCAAAACAAAGTCTGTCGTGTTGGATGCATTTATGCCACGATTACCAGTTCTCAAAGAAGGTAACGGGGTGGGGGGAGGAAGGCAAGGGCAGCCCTCTGGTTAGGGTTCCATTTCCAAGGTCTGACTTCCCTTGAAGCTCTGCACGTGGCAGCTGGCCTGGCCTGGGAGCAGGTGGGGCCCAAGCTGTTCCCAGAAGTGACCTCCTGGTTTTTACTTTGGGGACCCCCAGTGCCCTGATCAGTGCAGCACCCTTGCCCGCCAGCCGTCAGAGGTGACAGTGGAAGGAGCTGAGCGCCTATAGCTCCAACAGTGATGGAGAAATGGAGGTGTCCCCAAAACATCTCTTCCCACAGGTGAATCCAGCCACCACCCAGTCTCATGGCCACGATTTTGTTTCCTAGTGCCTGTGGCCACTTTCATGATAGCATGGAGACCCATGGCCAGGTGAGCCCTTTTCAGGAAAGCTCTGCCCACCCAGCCCTTGTTCACTGCTTCTCCTCCCTTCCACAGAGTCTACTGTTCCTTCCTCAGCACCATATCCTCCTAGAACAACAACACTACAATGGAAACAACAGCTGATGACTGTGGACCTCTGACCCCTCCCCAGGCACTGCTCTGGCTTAACTCTCACCACCCCAGCACAAGCTCTAACTCAAGGGTCAGTGAGAACAGGCTGGAACTGTGGGCCCACATGCAGAGGCGAGTGTGGCTAGGATTACTGGCCTGTTTGTTTCCTTTCCATTCTGTGACCTCAGCCTGCAGTCCCAGACCTGCTGTTAACCAAATAGGAAAAAAAGGGTAGTGATTAAGAGCAAGGGCTGAATCACATCTTGGCAAGTTATGTAGCCTCTCAGTGCCTCAGTTCCCTTATCCATAAAACAGGCATAAGATGAATGCCTACTTCATATGGGGAGGAAGGGAGGCCTTTGTATTCCCAAACTTGAACTTAGCCTCCCCTGCTGTGACCACGACCTTAGCTCCAGCCTCGGCATTTCTGGCACATGGTTTCCCTATAACATCCTCACTTTATGGCAAGACTTTGGCTAACACCAAGCAGGCTGACCTCTGGAGACCTGGGCTGGAAGGATGCTCTGGGAACAGCGGTTGGGACCCTGCTTCACAGTGCTCCTGGGAGAGCTTGGTGCTTAACACAAAACCAGAAGATTCAGGATGGCTCTCAGAGGTGTGGCCCTTAAGAAGCTTGTGGTTTATTAACCAGGAGGGTTGGATGGAACTGAGATATATCAACTCTGGGATGTTGTTCAAAACTACGAAGGCTCTCCAGTCCTGGGCTAGAGCTGGGGGGCTCACAGAATGAGGCCCACCTCCTGCTTTCCAGGTGACTGGAGAGTTAAGGAGCCAGATGGTCACCCACACGTTGGGGTCTAGAGGTCCAAGATGCTCAGGGCATCCTGTGGTGTGCAGGGAAGGTGTCTGATTTGCAGTGTTTGACTATTTTAGTAAAATAAACACTCTCACCATGGCCATTTCAGCTGCTGGTTGAAGCCACCCATGAAGACCACTGACTGAGAAGAAGCTTTGGAGGGGCAGCTGGCTTGCACCCTCAGAGGCACCTGATCCATTTTTGAAGAGATCAGGGCAGGCAGTCTCACATAGGTCCTAAAGAGTAGGTAAAAGTTCGCTTGGAAAGAGGTGGGAAAAAGGTCTCCTAGGAAGTGGAAGTAGGCTGGACCAGAGGGCTGAGCATGAGGTCAGATGACATCATCAGGTTGCTATGGGTCTCACACAAAGGCTGTGCGATGCAATGAGAGAGTGGCGGGACCAACTTGCCATTGCAATGACAGAAGAGGCCAACTCTGGCAAGAAGTGTATGTCGTAATGCCACCCAACACACACACACACACACACACACACGCCCCAAAGCACGTGAAACAATATTTATACTTACCGAACACAATGGACTGTGATCTACTCCATCCTACTATTTTTATTCCAACAGAACAATGGCAGTGGTTGTAGCCCAAGACAACGATCAGGAAAACCATCACTGGGACATGATCAGTAATCTGAAAACCACTGGCTTAGACAGGACAAGGCAGGAGGGAGGAAGCCTGAAAGATGTTGATGGTGGCCTGGCCTTAGGGGGTCAGAGGGTGGAGAGGAGGGCCTGGAGGGGCCAGGACTAAGGAAACAGAGCACCAAGTTGACCCAGGTCTCCGTTTGGCTGCTGGGTGCATGGGAGGCATGTGAAGTTCTTCCTGAGTTGGAACGAACACAGATGGGAGATGTCACAACTGTGAACACATTGTAGAACCTGGAGGGCCTCCAAGAGGAGGCAGCCTCTGGCAGCTGCACACATGAGTTGAGCTTGTGAGAAATATCTGAGCAAGGGAGAGACATGGCCGTCACAGTGTCAAGGCAGCCTGAGTTCTATTGGTCCATCCCTTGCTGTCATGTGGACAAGGACTTGTTCATGAGAAAAAGCCCTGGTCTAGGCCTCAAGGAGGGGTGGAGACCCCATTCTCAGGTGCCTTCTTTTCTCTGGATAGATAAGTGCCAGGCTGGAGACTGTTGGATCACTTCCTTTGCTCAAGGAGACTTTCTGGAACTCAAGACAAAGCCAGGGTTCCTGCAGATGGGGAAGCACATCCTTCTTTGCCCACAGGGAAGGAAACCAGGGGCCAACAGACACCACATCTGGCAAAAACAATAATGAACATTTGCAACTTTTCTGTAAGGTGGAAATTATTTCAAGATAGAAAGTAAGGAAGAGACACCACATTCCAGCACACGGCTTCACCTCTAAATGCAGTTAACTTGAGAGGTGAAGAAGAAGTGCTTGTTTGGATATAAATTGCTCATGACAGGTGTTCCAGAGAAGCCAGGAAGTGAGACCCATGCATTTAGCTGTGCGTGAAGCAGGACCATGTGCACAGAGAGGCTACGGGGAATGGCAGAGCTGCGGCCTCCCTGGGAGGGACTCACAGGCCCACACAGCCCAAGACCCTGGCACCGGGTCCCCACCTGGGCATAGGGTTCAGGGACTCCACATGCCAGACTGTGCCAACCCACTGCCTCGGGCTTCTCCAGCAGCACAGCCTGTGCTCACTTACTCCCTGAGGCCAGGTGCACCCATCTCCTCAACCTCATTTACTGGTGTCGGTATACAGGATCCACCATCCTCCTTGCCAGCACTTCTAGAGTACTGAGTACCTCCCAG